TTGCTCTCCGTCTACAGTCATACAGGCCCGGAAGTACAAAGTGCAACTGTAGATTCTGCATAAACTCCACACTGTTGCACACGTTTAATGAATCTTTGATCAGATTTATGCAAAAATGAGATAAAACTTTCTTCCTGCAACTTTTGGGATTTCCTTCTTGAGTGGTGTCTTGGTGAATAGAAGAAAAAAGCAAATTATTTTTCTTAATGAACTAAGCTATTTAATCTGGGACTGTCTCAGTCCTTGTAGTTGGTTTGATGCTTCATGATAATGAAGATTCTGATATGTCTCTTTTTCTCGCTTATCGTATACAGGTCGACTGGGCTTCCGCGTATCCAGCTATCGGATGCCACGAACAACGAGGCCGTGGTTTTGGATAATGACTCATCCACCACAGACGCAGCTTGGATCCGCCGAAACAACACATTTACGGTGAAAAAGATGCGTCCGACCGGTTCTGATACTACTCCACCTGATCAGTCCTGTCCATTGTCGCGTGCTCCGCAGTTCTCTAACATCCCTAAGTAAGTATTATACATATATATATATATATATATATATATATATATATATATATATATATATATATATATATATATGATAACAGATCACGGGGATTAAGATACAAAGTAGAAGAAACGGGGGTAAGGAACGAGAATCACAATTTTTGGTTTGTTTCGCCGTACACTTGTGATATTTTTGTTTCAGTTTAATTTTATTGTAAATCACGCAGACTATTTCTTTCACATATACGAAATGAGAAGCAACTCTTAAGTTTTGTACCTGAAAGGAAGAACTGAACTGGGAGAGTGAGGTGTGATTGCGTACGAGTGCCCATGTCGTATACGTTGGCACTCATGGATTATCTCGATCCCTTTGCATTCATAGTCTACCGGAACCCTCTGTCTTCCCATTGACATTGCTTCCAACGTCCCACTCTTCTATCTATTCCTTCATTAAAGCTATTAGCATTGATTTAGCATCTTTTGTAGTACTTTATGTCCCTATTCAAATGCGGTAATGGCTAAGTGGCTAGGTTACCAAATTGTGACCGAACCGCTCCACCGCCGCTCGTCTTCCCTCTTTCTGTATTTCCCCAAGCAGCCTTTGTTTGGCCGCAGCCCTGAAAGTTGACTGTACATTTGTATATCCAATAAATAAAAAAGGAAGTAAAAAGACATCAAGTATGTCATTATGACTTGTTATTTCTAAAGTTACCGCCATTTGTCCAAGAAAATTACTCACGTGTAATGGTCCCATCTGTAAAAACGACACCGCTTACTAACAAATTAACTATTATTTTGGTGATGATGAGATACATCGTAGTGCTTCTGGTAGTTTGTTAAAGAAGTTTCATTCCACAGCTTTGTTGATTTCGGTGTTCCCTTTTTAGTCATCTAACCTCTACTACGGACACTACAGCGGCAGAGGCTGCTGCGGCTGCGGCAGCCGCCAGTGCAGCAGACGAAGATTCCGTAGTCTTGCCTCTGGAAGAATCTGGCGATCTGCGCGAACCAGAAGACGATACGCTTCGTAGTGTGACCATCAAGGAACAGTCAAGTACAGGTCCTCATATTACTACCACCTTGGCGACTCCATACCAGCGGAAAAATCCGTAAGTCCCTTGTTTTACTGCCTGCGTGCACAGCTTTTGTGGATGCGTTCGCTTACAGGCGTCAGGTCTGAAAACGATGGCGTAAGCTCTGTTGCGCACAACCTTTACTCAGTCCTAACATTCCGATTGTGCTATCGCTCGACAACCGTAATTGCTGGTATAATGAAATGCGCTGATATTATACTGTTTTCAACCGTTACAGAAGAGAACGCAGCTTGATGAAGAGTGCTAACGATAATGCATCCTCTGTGTTTAAATGCCATATAACAAACGAGGCCGTTGTTTGGGTTTTATTCGTTTTCGTTCACAGGCTGCGATGCACACAGTCTTTCTTGGTTTTATGTCCGATCAGGATCTTTTGTCCATAACTGTGGAATCTCGGGGCGATATTGCCAGCACAGTGCTTTTGTGCTCGCACGCTGCTTTTTTTCAGTTCTCCCGTTCATCGAATTCTCGTTGAAGCATCCAGTCATGAAAACTGATGTTCTGTTCGTCTTTGTGTGTGTGTGTGTTTATTTACCCACTCACTCACCTTCGTTATACTTGGTCCAACAACTTTTAAGCAGGTGTGTGCGTGTAGATTTTCTTTGGAGGCTTGACGCAGTAAAACAAGACTGTTTCGACCAATCCTACATGGTCGCATCAACAGTCTAGGTACTATTTAACCAAATTCGGAAAACAGTGATCTTTGTTATGCAAATTTTCCGAGACATGTGAAAGCTCGGTTAAGAAACCGTTTTTCCCTAAATTCGATCCTGTGGAATGTGGTTTCCTCATCATTTAATAACCGTATTTCTTTCATCTGCGATCGTGGATCCTAATTTCACTGGCAACCGTTCTTGGTGTCCCTGGGAGACACTGAACGCAGTGCTACATGCTTTTTATTTGTCTGCAATCCACGGTTTCTTGCTCTTCTTGCTGTTTTGATATTGATATGTCCGTTTACTGTTCTCATAATTACCTTTAATATGTTTCGACATGATTAATTGGTGTGAAAACTGAATTGACTGATGTTGTTTGTTTATTATCGCTCAATGAATCAAGCTTGTAAGACGCCGCGCACAGTTCTCTGAGTCTATTGGAACCATCTGGGATCTGCATTGATCGGTCTCCATTTTACCCGCGTTTTTGATGAACCTCGAGAGAAAAATCGCACGTTTGTCACACCAAATTCTTAATTTTTCTTTGATCGGATAACTTGGATGTTGTTATTCTTCATCTGTATCGTTAACCGTCTGGTGAATAAAGCTGGCAGTTAGTACCATAATGTGTGTTCCAACTATCATTTGTCTTCTGCCATACTTTCATGGTGGAAACGCACTGGATCCACAAACGAATAGCCTTTGCTGCCTGGTTGTTTTCTGATACGATGAGATTGGGGGTTAACGCAGTCACTGTGCATTGGCATGGTCACTGGCAATACCTAGATCTTTCATGTGTGCAGAAGTGATATTCATTCTCTTTGTATTCCACTCTTTCTCTTCCCATCGTGGCCCCCTTGTACTTTCACCATGAAGGGGATTAACTGACTGTTCACTTGGATCCGTTTTTACCCGTTCTCTATTCCCGATTTCGTTCTCTCCTCATATGCACTGTGTTTCAGATTTGTCGGATGGTTACGCAGGTAGAGTTCACCTATCCGCTATGCTCCGTTTTTATGTCTCACCCCTCATATGCACCATCGCCGCCGCCGCCGCTGCTGCTGCCACCGCCGCCATCACCACCACAAGCACTTCCATAACCTGTCCTCCTATGGCTCATTTACCACCGCACCTGGTTTCTAGGGTCTCACTATTAACATCAGTAACTCTTCGGTCCCGTTCTCATGGATGACGTGACTTCGCTGTTTGGCTTGCATAGTATTTTCGTGATTGTATTTGGTTTCTGGATTTTCAGATAACCTAATCGGTAATCCACGAATTCACCGGGCTCACTTGCTTTTACGTGCTCTTGTTGTTATGTATGTCTCTTTGTTGTTGTTGTTGTTGTTGTTGTTGTTGTTGTTGTTGTTGTTGTTTCTACCATCCTCCCGGGTAAGTGGAGTGGCATTCGTTTTGTCCGTTGTCCACAGCCGTCCCCTCCCCCTCTCTTCATTGCACTGATTTGGACGGTGGTGATGATGGTGGTAATAGTCGTGGTTGTAAAAGTAGTTGTAGTGGTTTTAGTAGTATTTATTAATTTGGCATAGTTTCCCAGGCCTTGTGGTTTTTAGTTGCACACGATTCTTTGGGGATCTTTTGCACTGTGATTTATTGCGTTTTAGAGTTGATGAAATTGCATTTATTCATTGTGATTTCACGCTGTCCTAATATATGTGATTCAAGTATTGAAGTTTTTGCGTCCGACAAAAGGGGATTTACCATTTGGATAAACATTTAGTCGTTGAACTTACTACATTCTAAACTAGTGGCCTAGTTTTTCGTATGTATTCCGTGCCGAAAGGAATGGGAATAACTTGTAAGGGTCATTTCAAGCTGCTGATTACTTCAGTACTTATTAGCATTCAGTTTGATCCATCCGTTTACTCCCATATCGTTTTTTCACGATCTATATTTCTCACTCTCGGGCACACTTTTCGTCAGTCAAGTTTTCCGGGAAAATGTGAGGCAATCTAAATAGAATTCCACTTACGATTGATTCCTCCAACGTAATCTATACTAAAGCGATTCTTGCAGTCATGGTTGCACGATAAGTTGCTTCGCATTCTGGCTGCAAGATGTATCCTTTCATCAACTAATGCTCAGCCAATAAGCTTTTCATTCTAAATGCGCCGTCACTATCAAAACTAGTGATTCCTGCTTTCAACAACAAAGCCTTCTTTAAAAGGCCACTCGGATTGTCTGTCACGTATACATTTTACTTCAAGCCGATTATTTTTAAATCTCAACCTTCAAAGTACACTAACGGTATCATTTTACTATTCACACTCTGATGACTGGGTCTAATCTCATTTCCAGAGGAATCTTCTGTAATTTCAAGCTGACTGACTTTTCTCAATTTGAGTACATCTAAAATTCGATTGTTATGCAAGCACTGTGATGCGGATGGTAATACGGGATGCTGACTCTGAAGTTGCAACAATAGTGTTCGGTTTTAAGTAAACAAATCTTGCACCATGCAATTGACCTCGAACCATAACAGGTTGCACTGTCGATCGCAGTGTTGTGTTACCGTCAAACAATGTTCGTGTAAATAAAATCGAGTATTCGTATTCACCTGATTGACCTACCGACTAAATAACTGTAGTCGTCTCTTTTATGTGTACCGTCTGAAGAGCAGATTCAAAAATCTACTTTTCGGCACTTCGCGTTCGCATTCAGACCCTTAGTGGTTCTTTATTCCGGTATCTAGTACGAAAACAGCGTGTTTTGGTGGACTATATTCGTTACAGTAATCTACTTTGCATTGACCTTTTTGTGTGTGTTTAATTTATCTTCCACCAAAGTTGATGTCTTCAAATCAAAACAAACAGAACCCTGGATTCTCTCACAGTTTTCACTTGAAGTAGGTTTGTTATTGGGCTAATTTCAGTACCTAACATTGCATTATTCGATTGAGTCATAAAACACAAAGATATCAGGCCGTAACTTGCATTCTTATCGAAATCTCAGCATTGAGGGACACAATCATGTTCTGATGATTGTGATCATTTGACTTCAACTTCCATTGATTGTTGGAATTTGAATTCCTTCGTTTTGGCAGACTTCGGAGAGTCGTGGCGTATTCGTCACTTGTGTAAAATCAGAAGCCTCAGTGGGATCTACATCCACCTATGNGTACGTTCTTCCAGCCAATCTCCTTGTCGAATCCACAGATCTACACGTTTCACATTCGACCGTTCGTTCAACTTCCGAGGATACAGACACCGGTTAATATACAAGCTGCTTACCCTGAAAGATCCTCCCTAGGAATCCATCGGATGAACTTTGATGTTGAGCAAATTGTTTCTTGACGACTTTTAAAAGTCGTGTCATAATACTTGAGCGTCTGAAAGTGTGACTCGAATCTATTTATTAACACTGCCCCGTGTTTCTGTGCAGTGTACGCTCTGCCAACTCCTTTGAGCGATCGCGCCGACGGTCTCTGTAAATCGGTTGGGAGATATCAGAGATGTCGATGTGGGCTGACAACTCAGCTGATAGAACACAATCCAATACAGAGTTATAAGCGGGGGCTATTCGTGGATTCGAATCCCGCCAGTTCCACTGGTCCTTGCACAATACAATAACCTGAATTCCAGTTCACTCACACATGTTGTAGAGGAACCGTCAATAAGAAAAGTCTGCAGCGCCACTTAGGAAAGAATTGTAAATTCGCGAGTTGTGTGGTATAAACCAGATGGTTGTGACCGCTCGAACTCACCACTAGTCAAAACGATGCGTTTCTGAATTAGTTTTTTCTCCACCATCTTTTATTTCGTTGCTTTTCTCAGAGAAGAACATATCCCGTTCTAAGTGGATATGTTCTACGTCCTAATCAATGACTTACACTAAGTCTACCATAATTGGCTGGTGACGGAATATAGGTGCTAAGTCTGTGTTGTCTCGTGTTGTGGGAGTGTTCGAAATTTGGATGCGTTCGTGTAACTGGTTCTCCAGCCTGAAGCAAACAAAATACTGTCATATCAGTCCGGTAATTGTCAGTCAATGGTTCGGTAAAATGTCGGGACGTTTGGCTCGATGAAGCCACTTGAGGTCAGCTCACCGTCAAGATGGAGTGAAAAATCGACTGTCGTATTCACGGCCGTATGATCGCTTGGTTGATCCATCCATCAGATGTGTGGTGGTATTGCGAACAGATTGGTGAGGTGAAGTGTCACGAGTCCAAAGCGGACCAATAAGCCACAACTGATAAATAGAGCAATAACTGTGCCCTGTACACATTAATTCCGTTACTTGGAAATAGAATTTATTCAAAAGGGTGAATCCCAGTTTTGTCGGGTGGCTGGAGCTCAGTTCCATGCATGTGCGCGTGCACCCGTGTGCTGAATACAATAGTGA